GAGAATAGTTCAGTCTCTATTTGAAATGCCAAAAATTACTCAATTTCAAGAGCTCAATAGATTGTTTCCAAAGTCAGGTGACTCCAAATTAAGGAGAATAAAGCAGACCACAAATATGTTTCTAATCCATTCAGAAATGTTCACTTGTACATTTCAGATGGCTCTAAATTAAGATATTTTCAGAGGTGGTAAAGTATTTGGTATAACTAATTTTAAGAATAAATTTTAGACTGAGAGGAACTAAAAACAGAAAAAGAACTGATTTAAATGCTAGAACACAGGAACATTTAATTAATTGACTTTCAAAGGAAATAAAAGGTTGTGAAAGTAGTAATTAAACTGTTATTAAATTAACTAATTTATAGATAATGTTCTCCAAACCCTTTGAGGTTCTCTACTTTTTTTGCAAATATAAATATATGACAATAAAATCAAAGTAGTTGGGTGGCCATTAGTCATGTGCATAAAAATAATTATCTAATATCTATATTCAAAAGAATCTTATATAATTAATATCATATTTGACAACTGTGATTTTTATCATTAATTTAAATTAATTTAATTTAATACCTTTCTATAAATATCATATACATTTCTATCACTATATGTAGCTAATATATGGCATAGAAAAAATATATATTATTAAAAAGAAGATTGCATACTCGATTTTCATCTACCACTCTTTATATTTCAATTTTTATAGTTATTTTAAATTATACTTTCATGTTCTATGGTTTAGGCATGTTAGACTGGGGTAAAGAGAATAATTTTATGCATTATAATGTTTGATTGTGATAATAATATAATACCCTTTTCTTCCTCTGTTTACAGTAGACCATTTGGCTTACAAGACACAGGTCAAATATTTCTCATGATAACTGAACTAGTATTATAAAATGAATAACTTTTGTACCCATTTTTTAAAAGGACAACATTTAACCTTAATTCAGTTTAAGAGTGATTTAAATTGTTTCTTCTTAAAAAAACTTTTGAAGATCAAAACAAATATTTCATAGAGAATTGGTGTAATGCAAATAAGAAATGATTTGACTTTCTCATTTTCTATTTATGTCAAAATACAAAAGTAATGATATATTGAATAATGCCATGTATATCAGATATATTTTTATTAGACCTTAGGAAAGTCATTTTATAGAAGAGAAGTAATATTAATAGTGATATGTTCAATGGAAGTCTTCTAAAGAGTTTTTTTTCTTAATTGGGTATCTATCAATGATCATGAAAGAATATTACATATTTCTAGTATAAAATAAACATGTACATGTTTCAAAATGTTATGTTTCTAAAACTAGGTTATGAAACAATGTTTTCAAGGATTTTTTTATTTAATATGCAGAAATTAAATTGTGGCTTTATTGAAGACATTAATATCTTAGTCTATTTTTGACAAACTTCTTTGTGGATCATTACATATTAAGAAATATTTCAACATATTAAACTCAGTTCAAAATAAACTCAACAAAATAAACTCAGTTCACATTAAATTATAATCCTTCAGTATTGAATCATATATATTCAAGTAGCAAAATTTGGTTACATTTTCAGCATTCTGGAATACACATATTTTAGCTTTTCTTACAAATTTATTTCTACCACAAGTAAAAATTTGTACCATTTCTAACATATTTTTTTAAGAATCTTATTATGTGGTTATTGAAGCCAAAATTTGTGTATATTTTCAATTTGTAATTAGGTATGTGCCTATTTAAATAAAACATGAAGAGTGGCAGTAACTCCATGTTATTTCAGTAGGCAAAGTTCTTTGTCAGATACTACAATAGAGACTTTGACCAGAATGCTTTATTTATGAGAGGTCCATCAGGCTCATGTAGACTAAAAATTTTAATATTAAATGTAAAATGTATATGTAAAATACTTAATTATAAATATATTTTATCTGCAATGATATATTTATATAAACTACCTGTACAAAAATCATGCTTTTTAACATTATGATAGAATATTCTTGTTGTGTTTAAGTCCCAAGTCAAAAGAGTGTTTCGCTTCTGAAAATCCTAATAATCAAAACTTATAGTTATCAAGTTTATTTAAATCTTGATTTTAGTATTGACTTTATCTCCTCTCCTAAGTAAAAGTTTTCAGTACATGTTTTTCTTTATATTACAGAACTCTGCCCTTGCTAAAGTCCTCTTAAAGTATACAAACACACATTTTTTTCATGTTTTTCTTTTTGTTTGACATTTAGGTAGCAAATATTAAAATAAACAGTTATTAATTAGCACTTGTTAAATTGCAAATTAAATTTTGTTTTACTGAAACAGATCCTTCAATTTTATATTTACTCCCAAATTTTTAAAACTAGTTAATAGAATATTTACATAGGTGCATTCAAATGTGAACATTCAGATCCAAAAATTAGTCATGTATGTCAGAGAATATTCAAAATCATTTACCCTACTGTTATTTACATTCATTATAAGTACAATTGTATTTTTGTTTCTCATTATGATTAAAGACCCTTAAGATTTAAATGAAAATTGGATATCTCATTAGAAATTTTAATAAGAAAAAGGGTAAAAGGTGAATATTGAGTATTTTGATTCTAAATTTAAAATATCATCTCCAAAGCTAACAATATTATATATACTGAAAACCATTTACAAAGGGTCTTTGCATAAAATTATACATTTTATGAAATGGCTAATTCCATATGGCTTGAATAATTTTTTGAATTTTAATTTAACTACGAACTCTTGTTTTTATTTAAGTATATTTATCTGAGGGAAGCACTTGAGTCACCTTGTTCTATTATGGCTTTGGCTTACACTTTCATTTAAAAGCCCTGTGCCTAATTTTAAACATATTGAAAAAACATCTCTATTATTATGTTTGATTCTTGAAACTCAAATTATTTCCCTCCACCAAAAAATTGAAAAGAAAAAGTTGGTCTGTTTCCCTTCATGTTGTTAAATTAAAAATATGATTATCCCACATCATTCCTAGTGTAACAATCCAACTGCTATGTAAGCATGACAATGTGTGAGGATGTGGATATGGACTTGTCATTCATTAATAATCATCTTTAATACACAGTATCTAATTATAAAGGTAAAAATTTCTTTGAATGTTGACGTATCTAAAATTATACAGTTTGATTAACTGGGCAGCTCATATAGTTTACAAAATGCCTCTACTGTATGCTTTATAACACTAAAGCAATGTTTGCCAAGTGGTGATCCACAGATAAATCCTGAAAATTCTGTTTTATTTGAATAGAACAATTTTGTTTCCTTTTTGAAAAAAAGGAAATGAATTTGAATGCCTTTAGGCTGTATAGCATCCTCCATATTGTCTTAACCTAGCAGCTTCATATAATATTATCTCCTAAACCTTGAGGGCTTTGAGCTTTCAACCATGTTTAAATAAAATTTGTTCCTCCAATATTAAAATGTATGTATCATAATCACGTGTTTTTAGACATCGTTCTCTAGAAGCTCCCAGTTTATTAATGCTTTATATATATTTGAAGTAGCAGATTTTATGTAGCTTTGTATTATAAAGAAATCAAAGTAA